CCAGACCTCTATACAAAGTCTCAATCTCCTACTCCTGTCTCTTATACACATCTAGATGTGTATAAGAGACAGCACACACACACGTGAGCGCGCGCGCGCGGACGGGGAGCAAGAGTACAGGCAAATATAAGCCGAAGATTTGAAGTAAAGTGAACAGGAGTATACCTCCCCCTTTACTCTGCCTCCTTTCACAACGTGTAAGTGTGTTGTTAAGGCACACAGGGATGCCGGCAGCTGGCGCTTAACCACAATCAACGTGGCCCAGCCTTCTACGTGAGAGGCATAGTAAGAGGGGAGCTGCAAGAATAAATGAAAGGGGTACCCCAAAGAAAGCCAAAGTAATCACAGTTAAGAAAGGTATTTTAAACGGGTCTATTGTGCTCCATGTTGCTTGCTATAGAGGTAAAACTGTTTCATTGTTGGATTGTATCAATTCAAGTGTTTTCGTTGTCTGCAATAGGACTAAAGATGGTTCGATTTTGGATCTACTCGTCAGGGTGGAATAGCGGCTGTTGTGGTGAAAATTCAACACACACACACACACACACACACACACACACACACACACACACACACACACACCACACATGCACCTGCGGTGAAATAAACTCGGGTCAATTAGACCACTATTTTTTTGTTGTTTATGGCATCAGACGATATCTTCGATAAGAATGAGATTGAATCTGTTTGTGCCACAGCTGCACCGGATGCTTATACATGCAAGAGAGGTGTCATTTTTGGCATTTTATATAGGCTGCGGGCACTCACAAGAGCATTTGTTTGGTTCTCATATGGTCGGTGGAGTGCTGATCAAAATGAAAGTTCAGACTCTGATCCTTGCGTGCTGAAAGGGACATTCTCGGTGTTTGATGGACGAGGTAATAGTTCAGATGAGAGTCGACAGTACACGAGACAACGACGGCAACATCCAAGTCTCTTCCCCTTTCTTCAGGAAAAATGACAAGAAATATGCTCTCAGCCACAATGTTTGGAGTTGAAGGCACAGCAGAGTGACCACGTATCGGGGAAACAAAATACACTCCCTTTCAGAAAAATAAGAAAAAAAAAAAATTGCTCTCAGAAGTTAAAACCTTGGCTGTCCACAATGTTGGCATCAGAAGACACAGCAGGGCGACTCTCCGCTTTTTCCCATTAAAAAGGGGTAGGCCCTAACATCATGGAATGACGAACAGAATTTGAACTGTTAACATACTGCTGAAAGTGCATGGTGTAGGTCTACAATTTAGCTATGAGGGAGATAGAAGAGACATATTCCTTGCAATTCCTTCACTTCATCTTTCCTCTATGCCATTCTGTCTAAGTCATTCATGATGTGGAGTCTATCCTCCTTGTAGTAACTCAAGATGAATCATTCTGTCTTTGTGTGTTTTGGGGTGTGTGTGAGGCTGTGAGCGACAGAAAGAGGTAAGGGGGCGGTGGGAGAGCGAGGCGGGAAGGGAGGTGCCGCAAACTCTGATACCTTGACTTATTTACAAGTCTGCAGTGGCCACATATGTTGTGGACATATATGGATAATGGATAGGGGACGGTACACGTGGTTGCCCTTCTCCCACTCCTCAGCTTCTCGTTTTGGAGTTATCGCGATTTCTCAGCTAATTAAGAGGGGCTACAGGTTCATCATCTGCACTTTCAGCCTAATCTAAGGCCATAGAACCCTTGGATGTTGGGGGGGTAGCATTCCATTCTCATCAAAATTCCCCCAGTTGCACTAGTGGATGTGCAGCAGATGTTGATATTTTCATGGCTTAGCAACAATGACCCGTTAACTGCTTTGTTGGTGAGTGGGAGTTTCAAACACTTTTCTTCGCCACCGACAGATGCAAACAGATGAAACATGCACTGTTTGTAACTCGTCAATCAACTCTGTACACACAGGAGATGAAGTTTGAGCCGAGGCAAATGATTGTATGCCTGGCGGAGAAGGGTTTTGTCCGCAGCTTCAGATGACTGCACATGAGATGGTATCATCGCATTGAGGCACTCTGCTTTGAATTCTGTTTCACACTGCCAGGGTTCCGCAACCTGATTAACTTGTAGTAGTTCTTGGATGGTGCGAGTCGATGGTATTGGCCAAGGTTCTTTGGCATTTCACCTGCCATGATCACATTGACAGTGTCACAGTGTGTTCCAGTGTCAGAAAAGGATTTCATAGAAACCTTCACCAAAAGACTCTCTCTCTCTCTCTCTCTCTCTCTCTCTCTCTCTCTCTCTCTCTCTCTCTCTCTCTCT